TCGGTTTAGGGGCGGATTTACCCGGGTCAATATCGGTTCGGTTTATAAACGGTGCGAATCATGTCGGTTCAGTTTGAAATGGGCAGGTTTAGTAGAGGGTTTACACAGTTCAATTGGTTCGGTTTATGAACGGTTTGGATCATGTCGGTTCGGTTTATAAGCGGTTTGGGTCATGAATTGAATTCATGATTGTTTTAAAGATCGCGTCATGACCATGATTTAATGAGTTGATACTTATAATACGATAAATCGATAATTAAGAATGTACAAATATTCAATTAGATTGATCAACAAGTGTTTTAAACTTTTAAGTTTTAATAATCAGATATGTAAATATGTTTATCGATTGTAGATTTGTAGTACATACCAATAATTCAATGAGGCAATGATACTTATGATAGTATGATAATGATACCAACCATACATTCGTACGATATGATATACATAATAATTAATCTATAATTACATATACATTAACAATATCATATTGAATCAATTTCCATTTCCAAACATTGCATTTCTTATAAATTATAACTTACACGAGATTAAATGGATTCGTTATTTAGTTTGTTACTTTATTTAGATTACTAACTCAAACAACTTAATAAGTTAAATGGACGAAATCACGAAATCATGACCATGATTTAATGAGTTGATACTTATAATACGATAAATCGATAATTAAGAATGTACAAGTATTCAATTAGATTGATCAACAAGTGTTTTAAACTTTTAAGTTTTAATGATCAGATATGTAAATAACTAAATATGTTTATCGATTATAGTACATACCAATAATTCAATGAGGCAATGATACTTATGATAGTATGATAATGATACCAACCGTACATTCGTACGATATGATATACATCATATACATAATAATATAATTACATATACATTAACAATATCGTATTGAATCAATTTCCATTTCCAAACATTGCATTTCTTATAAATTATAACTTACACGAGATTAAATGGATTCGTTATTTAGTTTGTTACTTTATTTAGATTACTAACTCAAACAACTTAATAAGTTAAATGGACGAAATCACGAAATCACTAATTAAAGTGGTGATGAAAGCATTATGCAATACTAATGTACGAATAGTCAAATATACAACGGTTAGATTGAATGCCCATGAAAAACAATGGTTAGATTTTCATTACTTTATTAGTTATTAGTATTATTACTTATTAAGTTATTATTAGTTTTATAGTTTATTATATATACTGATATACAATCACAGACTCACAGATGTCAGATATTGTCATATTGATGAGCATTAAGTCATTAACTCATTAAGTCATTAACTATGTCGTATTGAATCAATTTCAATTTTGAAACATTTGCGTTTCTTACAATTTATAACTTATAAGTAATAAACTAATAATAATAATAATAATAATAATAGTAATAATAATAATAGTAATAATAATAATAATAATTATAATAATATTATAATAATAGTAGTAGTAAACTAGTAATAATAATAATATTAACAAATAATTATACTAACAATAATAATAATAATAATAATAATAATAATAAATAATTAAAAAAAACGGTCAAAAAGACCTAGAAAAGCACAAAGAAAATCTAGACCGTTAGATCTAGATGAATATTCTAGAATCTACAAAAAAAAAAAAAAAATGAACGGTTAGATCTAACTTAGATGTTGAGATTGAATATGGACGGTTAGATCAACTGAAGTAAAACCTAAACCTAGAAAAAAAACCCACTCTCACTCTCTCAGCCATTCTCATTCACTCATTCAGCCGTTTCTCTCTCAATCTCACAATCTGTCATAGTTTCTCTCTCTAACTTCTCAGTTTCTCACTCTTTCGTTCTGAAATTCTCAAGAATCTAAAGCTCAATTTCGTTTCATTTGTGTTTTGGATCTACATTTCTGATTTCTAGCTTTACATTCTCGTTTTTTTGTTAATTTTTGTTGTTTTCGTTTTGATTTTTTTCGTTTTTGTTTCGGTTTGTTTATTTAGGGTTTTTGTTTTCGTTTCATTTTTGTTTTGGATCTAAGTTCTGATTTCTGATTTCTGATTTCAAATCTTCCTCTCCTTCAAGCCGTCAAACCCTAAGGTAATTTTTTTGTTAATTTATTCGATTTTTTTCGTTTTCGTTTCGGTTTTTTTTTTTATTTCAAGTTCTGATAATCTACATTCTTGATTTTTTCTTTTGATCTCCAGTTCAGGTAGTTCTCCATCTTCAAATCTCCTTCAAGCCGTCAAAGGTAATTACTTTTTCCTTTTTGTTTTTTTTTTTAATACAGTTTTTCTGTTTTTGTATTTGATTATTGTTGTTGTTCTTGCTTGAATATAGTCGAAATATGCCTAAAATGAGTAAAATCTGTTGTTGATTGTATTTTTGTTTTTTACGGGAAAATGGTAGATTTGTGTTGTTTTGTTGTTTATTATGCTCGATTTAAAAGTAATGATGATGGGTTGTTCAGATTATGTGATTATTATTGTTGGAATACATGCATTGTTTATTTATTGGGATTTTAGCTTTATATTTTTAACCCATATTGTTGGAATACAAGCATTGTATATGATTGGCTTAAAGTTAGTACTTAAAATGTACACACATGTGACTGTATCGTATATAACTTTCTATATTCTGTTAGGATATATGTTGTAATCACGTTTGTTGTATAATTCTGAATTTTGAAACATTGACTAGTGCAAATAAAATTCTGAAATATGAACTATCTATTTAGTTGAATTTTGGTATTGAGTGAATAGGATTCACTGTCGTGACTTCAGTGTCAGTCACATGAGACAATGCATGCTTAATTGCTCACTATTAGTAGAATCTGTCACTTAATTTGGTACTTATAAGTTATAAATGCTGTTTTTTTTTTGTTTCAGTCATGTCTCGCGAGTATGATGAATTTGACTATGAGAGGCAATCAAATTTTGATACTGTTAGCTCTCAAGCTGCCTCTGTCTCGGTTGATGATGCTAGTAATACCGGCACTATCAATCCTTCTGTTAATAAACGTCAAAGAACCGCAGGTATATGGAAGCATTACACTTTTTTTGTAAAGACGATAGGTAATGAAAATGTAGATTATGCTCGTTGTAATTTGTGTGGCAAAGAATATAAAGCACCTGGTAAAGCGGGTACTTCAACTTGTAGAGCTCATATTAATGCATGTTTGGAAAAGCATGGTCTCCAGTCCGGTAACGAATCACAATTTGATCAAAAAACTTATTTACAAAAGTTTGCTAAAGCTATAATCTGCCATGCATATCCTTTAAATATTGTAGAGCATGAATATCTTAGGGAACTTCATGCATATTTGAATCCTAAGGTGCAGCATGTTTGTAGAAAAACTATGTTAAAGTATGTTATTGCTGAGCATGATAAATATAAATCCTTGTTGCTTGAGTCTTTGGCTAATGTTTCTGGTAGAGTTAGCTTTACATGTGACTTGTGGACTGCATGTACTAACCGAGGCTATCTCACTTTGACTGCTCATTATGTTGATAACAGTTGGTCTCTTAGGTCTAAAATTTTAAATTTTAAACAGCCATTGCTCAGTGATGATACGATAAACGTAAATCTGAGAGCAATTTTGAAAAACAAAAATAAGTTCCTGCTGAGTCCCTTCTGCTTATATTATTCCTTGCTTCGGATAAGTTGCTGATCTGTTATTGCGTGTGCTGGTTCCTGCTTGTTGCTGCTATTTCCTCTGCTCTTGGGTGCTGGGCTGCTGCTTCAAGATTCTGCTTCAAGATTCTGCTCCCAAATCACTCACATTCTCACTCCTCCCTTCATCTTATCATGTATCATTTTTTGCAACCCTAAACTTGATGATGTTTCAGTTGATAAATCTGAAATCTAATCTGGGTAGTAGTGATAGTAGTTTCATTATGTATTGGTATATGTATTGTGAATTTTAATCAATGAAAATGGTGACTTTTTTTAATTGCTTGTTGATATTACTCTAATTTTAATGTTATTTATCTCCAATCTTATGTTATCTTATTGGATGATCATGAATATCAAGGAACAATGAAGATAATTTGGGTGGACTTTATTACTGGAATGAAAAGATACAAATGATATATCTTGTAATTAAAATAAATAAGTAATCTAAAACGATATTAATAATGTCGTTGGCCTAGATCTAGGTGATATAAACCTTTGTATAAACCTAAGCCGTTTGATTAGATCTACATTTATTAACATTAATTATTTAATTGTATTTACTATTTAGCCATTTAGGTTGTAAATAATTCAATTTGAATTAAGCAGTTTGTAATTGGATAAGTTTAAACAGGTTGCGATTCGAAAACAGTTCGATTTTAACGGTTTAACGGGTTATGGCAGTTCTGTTTAGACGGTTAGCGGATTATAACGGTTCGGTTTATACGTGCGGTTTAAACGGTTTCGGTTCATAAACGGGTCGGTTTAAACGGTTAGCGGGTTACAAATGGTTCGGTTTAAACGATTTTTTTTTCGGTTTAAACGGTTTCGGTTTATAAACGGTTCGGGTCATTAACAGGTTTATAAACCATTCGGTTCGGTTTCGTTTCGGTTCGGATTTGCGCAATTTGGTTTGTTATCGGTTTACGGTCCGTAACGGGTTGACATTGAGCGGTTCAATTCGGTTTCGGTTTGATATTGAACGGTTCAGTTCGGTTTTCGGTTTACATTTATCGGTTATAAACGGATCGGTCCGTGATGGTTCGGTTCGGTAACGGGCGGTTTCACGGTTCGGTTTGAAAAGTCCCACCCCTAGCCGCGAGGATTGGGATGCAAATTTTAGATGGGGATGGGGATGGGAAGGCCAACATCCACCCCGCCCCGCTCCGCCCCATTAACATCTCTAGCTATAGCCCTATTAGTACAAAAAGAGCTTGATGGCTTTGTTTATATGTTAAATCACTTAACTTTCATACATGATATATCACATCGGATTATGCACTCCTCTAAACACTAATCTTAAAATTTTTGCCATGAAAAGCTTTATGGATTTGTCTATTTGTTAAATCACTTTACATTCATACATCACATTGATTTATAACAGATTATGTACTCCTCTAAACACTAATCTTAATATTTTTGTAACATCAACTGCATTATAAAAACATCAAAATAAAATACACAGTTCATTAAGTTCACATTTTACAACATCATTTTATATTAACAGATACTACAACATAAAAAACCAAGTAATACAAAATTTTTGAAACTTAAATTTTTTAAGTATTGAAGAAAAAACCCTCAACTAAAGTAGGTTTCTTCTCATCTTGTTCTTCATCATCTTCTTTCTCCTCTTTCTTCTGCTTAATCTTCAACCCCCTTAACCCATCCATACAATCCCCGCCTTCGCCACCGTCTTTGCCACCAACAATCACCACCTCATCCTCCACCTCCTCCCCATTTTTCTCTCCGACCACCACCACATCAGCCGCCGCATCACCATCTCCGACCAACGCGCCACCCTTCTCGGCGGCGCAAGCTCCCGGAGGCGACTTCTCAGGTTCAACCCCCACCAACGCATCCGACGGCGCGTGCTTTTCAATCCAAGGATCACTCACGCATCCGCCGTTGATTTCCTCATCGTCGCCGGCGAAAACAGAGGCGGCGCGTGAGCCAACGGCGGAGGCTGCTTTGAGAAAAGCTTCTTTGATTGAATCTGGAGGTAATGCGCAGTCTTCTAAGCCAGCATCTTCGAGATTTGGTGGCCGGATTTTGTGAAGAAGGGTGAGATTTTCTCCGGTGACCTCCATTTTTGCGATGAGAGAGAATTAGGGTTTGAATGATTGATTGAGACTTGAGAGGTGTTTGATTTGGGGAATTTAGAAGGATTTGATTTAAGGAATTTCTATTTTTTGATAGAATGTTCGGGAAAAGGTTAAGTGATATTGTGGTTGGGTTTTTTTTATTGGGCTTTGAGGCGGTTTATAGCCATCTCATTTTTGGGTTTGTTTGGTTTCGTAACTTTTGTCATAAATAATACCGTCCGGAGATCCACTTATCAAGCCCCAAAAATCTGTCTCTTTAAACTTTTCGATTAAACAATTAAGCAATGACCTTTGATGGAAAAATTAATACTCTAACCACTAGGCTTACAAGTAATATTAGTTATTATTGTGCACTTTATGTTTATTTAACTAAAAAATACTAATTTAAACCTTTTTTTTCTTTTTTTTCTTTGTGGTAGTACGTGCCCTATTAGGTTCTTAATTAGTTCCGCCACTGAACAACTTTACCAATAATAATCGTTACGGAGAAGATCAACTCAATCAAAAGATTTAATTAGGAAAACTAATAAATTCATACAAATCAATAAAGTAATCACGGATTTGAGCCAATAATAAAAGTTTTTCATACAATGACATGTTTTTCATACAAACCTTGATTAATGATCATTAACAATAATGCTAGGAAACATATTTAAGGATAGAAATACATACCTAGATCGCCCATCATTTGTGATTTATTTGATCCACAAAGAAAATACTAATCAAAGCACATTTTACTTACAGTAACCAAAGAAATTGAAGACAATCATTCTTACATACTTGTATATGTTAAGCCGGTATCATAGAATTTTTCTTCCATAATCTTTCCAAGCTTCTCCGCCATGGATGGAGTCAAATGATTAGTCCAATCTCCTACCACCCCTTCACGGAAAAACGCATCATTTTGAACAATAGAATAAACTCGATCACTCTTAATCGCGACTATTTTCATATTATCAATGCTGCACAACTTCACAATACCATCAATGACACCTCCTTGCTCCTCTTGATTTGAAAATGGGAATCCTATAAATTCCGCAATTCTTTTCAATTGAGGTTTAGGATCTGCCTTCAAATCTTCGTACTTAATAAACAACACCTTCTCTGGCCTCTTGAGGCTCTCTCTCCAATACCCTAATGCGTGCTCAGGGTACGGTCCAAAAGGAACTTTCCCTTCGCAAAACATGTCAAAAAATTGATTAAACATGTTAGACATCATATTAGCCTTGCAATCATCCGTTTTTTGATAAAACAACCAAGAGGACACAAAAGTGTCAAATGGGTTTCTAAAGATATATATGATCTTGCTCTTTGAGTCTTTGATTGAACTTGGTAACGACAAAAATGGGACGTGTGTACCAAAAAGTCTAGGAGACTTAATGGTGCTAAGATTTGGACTCTTTGATTTTCTATAAATATTGGACTCGAATTGGGGGACTAACTCATGGGGGTTGTGGGTGAGTAAGGGGCTCTTGGAAGGTGGGTGATTTGCGCGGTCAGAAATGGCAAACACCAAGGATTTGAGCCAAGTTGTGCCTACTTTGCGAAAGCTGGTTGCGAAGATATCAGTGTCTTGAGCTTCAAAATGGTTTTGAAAGGCAGTTATGCATTCAAGTTTTGGAGCCCAAAAGCCTTGGTAGAAGTACAAGGGATAACCAGCAAACCACAACTCTTTCGGTAAGGAGTTTTTCAATTGTGTTAGCTCTTCTTCTGTATTTGTTGGGATAATTGTACTTGAGGTTTCCATTGCTTAATTAAATGAAATACACAATGGCAAATACAAGAGCTATGACATTGACAGAAAGAGAGCATGGACAAAATGACATTGGTTGATTACTTTTTTTTTTTTTTTTTTTTTGACAGGACATTGATTGATTACTTTGATTACTTTTACATAAGAGTATTATATACTCCTCTGTCCCTGTTTTTTCACAGGTGTTAAGAAACTTAAGTGGGAAGTACAAAGTGTATGGTGAAGCTAATAAAAGTAAACTGAAGAGGTAAATTTATATGAAATTTGTAAAAGAATAGAGAAAAAGTAATAAAAATACATAAAAAAAAAGCAAAATTTACATGGGAAAACTAATTTTGCACAAATATTATTGCAAAATAGAGGGTGTTTTAATGCAAGTGAGATGGACATTTTGAGACTAAAATTAGGCCAAAAGGATCGTTCTTTTAGGGACGAGGGTGTAGTATTTAATAATTACATTGATTGATTTTGTGCAATAATATAAAAGCACTACTCGTACTAATGAGTAATGACAAAAAGTCTAGATCAACAGATTTTATGCCAACAATATGGAATAGAAATCAAGCATGGACCCTCGTGGTCTAGTGGAGTGGGTATGAATGTATGATGTCTTGTTACTAGAGGTGTCCACCGTGCGAGTCGTGCGAGCTGGGTTAGGGTTAGGTGGGTCGCGGGTTGGGATTTCATGACACACGGCACGACACACGTAGGGTAGGGTGGGCCGGGTCGTGGGTTGGGTCGGAGAAGTTGGACACACCAGGGTTAGGTTCGTGGGTTAGACGAGTCGTGGGTGGGTCGAGCTGGGTTTGTGGGTTAGACGGATCGTGGGTGGGTCGAGCTGGGTTTGTGGGTTAGACGGGTCATGGGTGGGTCGAGCTAGGTTCGTGGGTTAGACGGGTCAAGGTGGGTTAGTGAGTTAGGGTGGGTCGAAGGGTGGGTTAGTGGGTTAGGGTCGGGTGGGTTTGTGGGTTAGGTGGGTTAGGGTCGGGTGGGTTAGTGGGTTAGGGTCGGGTGGGTTTGTGGGTTAGGTGGGTTAGGGTCGGGTGGGTTTGTGGGTTAGGGTCGGGTGGGTTCGTGGGTTAGGGTCGGGTGGGTTGTGTGGTGTTTTAATTTTTACAAAATTAACAATTTGATGGCTTGCTCTTAATTAAGATGCCTACGTATCCTTATATTATAAAATAAGGAATCAAAGCCAGCGTAGTTCTTATATTGTACTTCTTTTGAAATTTGGGGGGGGGGCTTGGACCTATCTTTAGAAAACTAAAATTTAATTTTGCAATTAAATTGTAATTTTCGAAAAATAAGTTGCCTACGTATCCCGAAAGAATCAAAGCCCACGTAGTTCTTAGCGTACCTGATTTAGACTTTTCTAGCCACCCATGTTTGTTGCATCATCATCCCCGGAAGCTGCATCATCCGTTGACGACTCCAATATCATCACAGGATCATCTTCATCGTCTTCGTCTTCCTTTAAACCTTGAGTTCTTCTTTCAGCTTGATCCCAATCTTTCTTACAAACACAAATTTGAATGCTTTCCGGAGTTAAGCGAGATCTTTTTTCATCTAACACTCTTCTACCTGCACTAAAAGCAGACTCGGAAGCAACAGATGAAGCGGGAACTGCAAGTATATCTTTTGCAATTCTCGCCAATATAGGAAAACTTTTTTTATGTTCTTGCCACCATTTTATAATTTGAAAGTTGTTGTTGGTCTCATGTTGATATGACAAATAATCATTAATAGCAAGTGTTGAAGAAGATGATGATGAGAATGATGTAGATGCTTTGTGTTTTTTTTTCATAACTTTATCAAGAAAACCAAATCTAGAATCGGAAGTGCTAGTAGTAGTTGGTGTTGCCAAATCAAAACCATAAATAGATGCATAATGATCATAAAGGTCTCCCAAAACAGATTTGCATTTGTTAATATATTCACTAACATCATAATCGATACTTAAACTTGTATAATAAAATTCTAAAAGATTTTCCAAACCTTCAGCTTTGACACCGGGGTCAAGAATAGCAGCAATTCCATAAATGATTGGAAATTCACTAAAATAAGTATGCCACTTACGTTTCATGCTATCAAGAACGGGACGAAGTCCATCAATCTTCATATGCTCTTCGATGGTGTGAACAACTTTAACACACTCAATTATGACTAAATGAACGTTAGGCTCATAAATATAAGAGAAAATATGAGTTGCACTAACAAAAGCTTGAATTTGTGTGGAAATTTGAGTGAAATGGAATTGGTATTTATAGGAAAAATAGAATGGATGATCATACACTTAAAAAACTAGCCGTTAGATACAAAAAACTAGCCGTTAGATACAAAAAACTAGCCGTTTTTTTTTTTAAAATGGATGTTAGGCCGTGCGGGCCGTGCGGGTCGTGCGAATTGTGCGGGCTGTGCGGGCCGTGCGGGTTGTGCGGGCCGTGCGGGTTGTGCCGGCCGTGCGGGTTGGGTGGGTCATGCGTGCGGGTTGGGTGGGTCATGCGTGCGGGTTAGGTGGGTTGGCTCGTGCGGGTTGGGTGGGTCATTCGTGCGGGTGGGCCGTGCAGGCTGGGTTGTGCCAGGTGGGTCGGGTTAGGTGGGTTCACGGGCTAGGTGTGTCGAATTAAATGAGTCAAAACGGGTTGTGCGATTTGGGTCGAATCAAACGGGTTAAACTGAGCTGGGTTGAAATGGGTTGTGTCGAAAATTTTGGACCCACGACACAACCCGGATTAAATCCGAGCTGTGCCGGGCTGTGCCGGATTGAAACCGGGTCGGACCCACGTGACCCACCAGCCGTGCGAGTTAGGGTGGGCTGGGTCCAACCCGGCCCACTGGCCACCTCTACTTGTTACTTGCAGTATTACCTGTAAAAAAAAAATTAGAAAAAATTATTAAAAATAATACACTTTAATAGTTTTACTTCTCTTCCTCCTCCCTATCCAATTCCTGACTCAATCTCCACCAAGTGACAACAACCAACAATAGGAATACCTCGCCCCACTCCTCGCTGCCAACCCACTACATCTACAACACAAGCACACGCCAAAGTTGTTTTGCTCCAGCTTTTCACAACCGCAATTCCCACGCCTAGCACCACCAGCAAGCAACACACAACATAGCAGCAACCACCCAAAACATCAACCACCATGGCAACCTGCATCTCACGACCAAGCTAACCCAACTTAAAGACCCTTGTGGTGCGGGCAGGTGTGCGAACATGAAATCGAGATTCGGGATAATTATTAGTTTGGTGGGGTCGATTTAGAGTATTGGAGGTAGAGGTGGCCAGTGGGCCGGGTTGGACCCAGCCTACCCTGACCCGCACAACTGGTGGGTCACGTGGGTTCGACCCGATACCAACCCGACACAGCCCGGGTTTAGCCCGGGTTGTGTCGTGGGTCCAAAATTTTCGATACAACCCATTTCAACTCAACTCGTTTTAACTCGTTTGATTCGGCCCAACTCACACAACCCGTTTTGACCCATTTAATTCGACACACCTAACCTGTGAACCCACCCAACCCGACCTAGCTCGCACGACCCAGCCAACCTTGCACGCTCGACTTGCATGGCCCACGACTCAGCCCACCCCGCACACACGACCCACCTAACTCGCATGGCCCACCCACCCAACCCGCATGACCCACACAAACTTCTTATTATAAGAATAGGAGTGGTTTGATTGAATTATTTTGTACTTTTGATGGTCGTGTTAATTTTACAAGTGATACATGGATTTCTTGTTTTGGCGAATCTTTTCTTTGTATTACTGCTCATTGGGTGGATGGTGATTGGTTTATTAAAAAATGTATACTTTGTTTTCAAGCAATGGAAGAAAGGCATACCGGTTTTAACATCAATGTCGTATTATGGATTGTTTAAGAGGATTTCATCACTTGAATGGTAAAGTTTTTTCTTTGTTTCTTGATAATATAACTGCAATCACAATATGTGTTGACTATTTGAAAAATGACTCGAAGTTGAATTTGTTGTTGGGTGATAATCTCTTGCACGTTAAATGTTGTGCACATATTTTGAATTTGTCTTTTCAAGAGGGTCGTCTCGGTGAGTTGCAACCATTGCTAAACTCAATTAAATCGAACTGTTATAAAATGAATTAGGATTACTTCCTCAGTTAGATGGAAGTACATGGCTATAAGTAAAGAGAAAAGTCTTAAGAAAAGGCAATGATCTATTGATACCTCTACCCGTTGGAATATAATCTACTTTCAATTTGTTGAATGATGCTATAAAGTATCGTGACGTTTTGACCCAACTTTACAATGAACTCGAGTTGATCCTAGTGAGTTAATAACCGAAAGTCATTGGACTAATGACTCTTTTGTTCGTGATGTTTTAAATGCTTTTGATAATACAACTCATATTTTCTCTTATATCTATGAGTCTAACATTCATTTAGTCATATTGGAGTGTGTTAAAGTTGTTCACACCATCGAAGAGCATATGGAAATTGATGTACTTCGTCCCGTTCTTGATAGCATGAAACGTAAGTGGCATACTTATTTTAGTGAATTCCCAATTATTTATGAAATCGCTGCTATTCTTGACCCTGATGTCAAAGCTGAAGTTTTGGAAAATCTTTTAGAATTATAAGAATTACGTTGGCTTTGATTCTTTATTTTATGATATAAGGATACGTAGGCATCTTAATTAAGAGCAAGCCATCAAATTGTTAATTTTGTAAAAATTAAACAACCTTAAAAATAAATATGTGCAAAATATTATTTCAAAATAAAAGTTCAAAACTATTAAAAAAAACATACTTGGGTATTTGACCCACATAACCCACTTATATTAGCTATTTGGCCCACCCAACCCTAACCCACGAACCCACCTGACCCTAACCCACCCAACTCACAAACCCAGCTCGACCCGCCCTCTGACCCATCTCGACCCACCCTCCAACCCACTTAACCCACGAACCCAGCTCAACTCACCCACGACCCGTCTAACCCACGAACCCAGCTCGACCCACCCACGACCTATCTAACCCACAAACCCAACCCTAGTGTGTCCAATTTCTCTGACCCGACACACGACTTGGCCCACCCTACCCTACATGGGTTGTTTCGTATGCCATGAAACCCCAATCCGCGACCCACCTAACCCTAACCCAGCTCACACAACCCGCACGGTGGACACCTCTAATTGGAGGGTAGTTTTGAGGTGGACGTTAGTGTTGGTGCGGTGGGTCGGGTGGTGAAATTTTGGTTGTGGCTGATGAAAGGTAATAGTGATTGAGTTGTGATGATGGGAGGTTATTTATTTATTTATTTAATTTTTTAAAAAAAAGAAAAATAAAGTTGTTTTTACGATTTTACCTTATAACCAGGTTACAGGTAAAGTAACCTGTTAAAAGCAAATGTGTGCAAAACTTTTATTATTATGAAATAATCTAAAAGTTGCCTTGTTTTTAGCGGTTGGTCTAAAAATTGTATTATTTTTGTCAATTAATCAGTATGGTTAGTCCCTCCATCTCCTCTAGGTGTGACTTGAGTTCGACTCCTCATCCCCCCTTGAATCTTACCGTTTAAATAAAAAAAAATGATGTCTTTAGCTTGTCTCGTGAAGTAGGTGTAAATAAATAAATAAATAAATAAATTTCATGTTAGCTTATTTATTATTGTATACTGGATTATTGTCTTGCATTATTGATTTACCTCCCATACTCCGGCTGGCATATTAGTTGTTTCTCTGTCCCATAATGAGTGTCCGATATTAATTTTAATATTAATCTTTTTAGCAATTACAGGAAGTGGATAGAGTGTATAATTAGTAAGTACTATTAAAACTAGAGACATTTTATATGAAAAAGGTCAAATATATAAAAACATGTAACAGAGTTTTTGGATATAAAATTAATATTTTTTAGTAAAGATAAAATATTCAAAAATATACAATTTACAAGCAAGCCTAAAGTGTTAAGAGAATGAGCCTGCTTATCCAATAAAAGTGTCCAAAGTAATAGCTTAGGATTTATTCCAAAAAAAAAAAAAAGTAATAGCTTAGGGCATCGTTAATGGAAAACATATACTCCATCCTTCCCATAATATAGTTCTTGTTTATGTTTTTTCACGGTATTTAAGAAATAGGAGGAAAAAGTGGATAAAGTACATTAATAAATGTGAAAAGTACAATTATAGACAAAAGTTAGAGAGAAAAAATGGAAAAAAGTATAAAAAATGTGTAAAATTCAAGGGTAATTTAAAAAATACAATGAATAAAGTTAAAAAAGTGAGGATATAATGATCTTTACAACCTATCCAAAAGTAGAAATAGGAACAATATTTTGGATCTCTAAAATAGGAAAACAGAAACTATATTATGGGACGAAGGGAATACTACCTCCGTTTTTTATTAGTTGACACGTATTCCTTTTTAATAAGTTTATTTTTAGTTGACACGTGACATTTTAGGTTCACCTTTAGTTATGCGTAATAATAATAGATATATATATATGCATGTACACTTCTTCTGTCCTCTAAAAAATTGCCTTATTCCCTATATCACTTTAATTTATAAAGATTTTTTATTGACAGAGTAGCTGAAACGAACGATTTCTTAGGGACATGTCGGACCCAAAAAAAAAAAAAAAAAACAAAAAAAAAAGTACAACAATCCATACAGAACAAAGGAAATAAAACAACTAATCTTACAATAGGCCAGAACCACTAAATTTCTCTTGCATGAGCTTCTCAAGTCTCTCCACCATAGATGGAGTCAAATAATTTACCCAATCTCCAACAACCCCTTTTCGGAAGAACTTCTCATTTTGAATTGAAGAATAGACCCTAGCACTCTTATTCGACGTCGCAACGTCTTTCAGCTTCTCTAAGCTACACAACTTGACAATGCCATCAATAACACTTCCCATCTCTTCTTCTTCCGAAAACGGGCATCCTACAAACTCTGCCACTTTCTTCAAGTGAGGTTTTGGATCCGCCTTCAAATCTTCGTACTTGACAAACAACACCTTATGTGGCCGCTCTAAGCTCTGCTTCCAGTATCCCAACACATGATCTTCAAAAGGACCGAAAGGAATTCTCCCTTCACAAAACATGTCAAAAAATTGACCTAATAACTCTGGCTTTAGAGTCTTATTATCATCCACACTTTGATAAAACAACAACGACGACACCAAGGTGTCGAATGGGTTTCTATAAATGTATATGATTTTGCAATTAGTGTCCTTGATCGAACTAGGCAATGATGGATAAGGAACATGGGTGCCGAAAAGCCTAGGAGACTTTAGGCTACTAAGATCCGGACACTTCGATTTAAAGTAGGTATTGGACTCTAACTGAGGGACTAACTCGTGAGGGTTATGAACGAGTAAGGGGCTTTCAGAAGGTGGGTGATTTGCGCGGTTGCAAATGGCGTACACAAGAGCTTTGAGCCAAGTTGTACCGGCTTTTCGAGCACTTGTAATGAAGATATCAGTATCATGTGCTTCAAAGTGGTTTTGAAAAGCAACCAAGGATTCTAACTTTTGAGTCCAAAACCCTTGGTATAGGTACATAGGGTTTCCATTGAACCATAGCTCTTGTGGGAGGGAGTTCTTTAGTTGTGTTAGCTCGGCTTCCGTTTTCGGTACGTGTATGAGGCTAGAGGAGTTCATTGCTTACTAAAACTATATGGAGTACTAGTAGAAGAGCTAAAGAAGATCAAGAAAGCATGAAAATGATCACAATGAGAAGAAGTAGTGTATCGCATATAAACTTAACATTTATTGTTAAATTTGAAGGTGGGACATGAAGGATAACGTTAGGGTATATCAATGGACGATATTGCATGAGTTTTTTTTTTAAATTGGACGGCTATTGATAGAGACGATCGATACTTGTCGAGTAGTAGTCCTACATAGTACAATCCCACTTGGAGTTGTTGCTTTGATGAAAACAAAGTGAACATTGAAAACGTTTTCAATTTTTTTTGATGGAGACGTTGAAACTTTACGAGAGTTGGTTATCATGAAATTCAATGAAATTATTCCCACTAATTTTTTCAAAAAGTTGATCTACTGGTAATAATTTTGATTAGCTATTTTTGATACATGTCAAAGCATCTAATATGTACCTGAGAATACCTAATGGCTAATGCGTACCTGAGAATACCTAATGGCTAATCTAGGTGCATTCCCTTACATTTCTCTACTCACAACAACTAGCTTAGGCATATACAAAATTATCCGAGAATTCGACCCGTATTTTTGGATATCCGATCCGAGTTTCATTTTGGATTGATATCGGATGTTGATTTGGATTTGGATATTGATTTTCAAAATTTTGGATATCCGATATCCTAAACATATTCGAAAGTTTCAGATTTCGGATGTCGGATATTAGATATCTGAACTGATATCAGAAAAATAAAGGCTGAAATAGTAAAATACTAGGTTATCCCCGTGTGATGCACAGCTAGAATTAATTTTAGCTTTCTTGTAATTTATTTTCTGTTGCATTACAATCTATATGAAGATTGTAATTAGATATAAAAATAATTTACATTTAAAGAAAGTAAAAAAAAATAGAATTGAAACCATGATCAAACATCAAACAAATTAGGTATATGAAATTATAGTTTAGGAGAGAAACTCGATTAATTGAATTTTAGATAGACACTTATGCATTAAAATCAAAAGTATAGATTAAAAATGAAAATAAAAAATAATTAATAATTGATTAAATCTTACATAGAATTGGAGGAAAAATTTATATTGCGAGAATGACACATAAGATAGTTTGAGGGTTGATGATGTCAGCAATGTTTTGTTTTAGTAATAGTTAATAGATATGGAGTATAAATTTTTTAAAATGTCCATATGAAACTGTTAGTGGCTGTGCGATGTACGATAATAATAGTTTTTTTTCATAATTAATTTATGATATAATATAAAAATAAGGCAACTCATGTGAAATAAACAAATGCAGTGTATAATAAAAATGGAAAAGTAAGACATAAATTAATAAAATTAAAATTGAGAAAAAAAAAATTATTTTTGATTAGTTGTGTTGGAAATATTTTAAAGTAGTGTACATTATATAGATGAGTCTAATGTAGTCTTATGACTTTTGACTACCAAAATTTTTTGAAATGGAATGTTGAGATTATTATTTTTTGATTTAATTTTAATTAGTAATTTTAATTAAAATAATTTTTTTTATTTTTTTTAATATATTTTTATCTTCTAGAAATTAATTTTTAATATTTTTGAAATTTTGGAAATAAAAAAATATATAAAATAATTAAAACATGATTTTTAATTAAAATTATTAATTAAAAATAAATCAAAAAACAAATAATCTTAGCCGTCCATTTTAAAAAAATTATGTTAGTCAAAATTCATAAGATTACATTAGAATTTTCAACATTATATTACATAAATGATGTATTTTTTTCTCTATAAAACAATACAACGTACTTTAAAAAATTAAGCTAAGTAAATTTCTTAAAAAAAACCCTTAAAGATGACATCATATATTATTTTGGCGGGAAATTTTTTAATGATAGCTTGACATGTGTCAAAAATGATGTAAGCCATATGTTCTGTTTTAGAATAAGTTACTTTCTCCATTCTAGTAATATTGCAACAGCTGAAATTTTGCACTATTCATCATGCTTGTTTGACCACAAATTATGATTTGTACGTAAAGTAAGATATAGTCATGTGGGGTCTGTTAGATTTGTCTCGTAAAATACTTTCACAATATCTATTTTTTATAATTTTTACTCTTATAAATTATAGATATTAACTATAAAATGTGCTTTGGGATGCGTAATTTCTTGCTTGTTGCAATATTTGTAGAACAGAGGAAGTAATAGATTATAATATTATTAATATATTTTCTTTTATTTTGTTAAAATATGTTGTACAACTATCCTTAGCGATAAAAAAGCGATTAAATTTATGTAATTTCGAAAATAATCATAATCAATTTTTATTAATATTGAATAATGGATATCTGAATTCTAAAGCATCCAATTCGAACGATTTTGAATATTGGATATTCGAAATTTTCGGATCGAATTCGTATATCCGAACCAAAATCACATTTTGGTTCGGAGATCTGATGCGTGCGTGAACAGGCCTACTCACAACTAAGGGCTTGTTTAGCGCAAATTTTTAGCTACACACTTATGTAGCTAAGCTAGCTGCACCTCTACACCCATATATATGAACATATAGTATTTTAAAAATGAACATAAGTTAATTTATCCCTTCCTTATATCTTAACTCACTCTCTTCTTCTTTTTCACCTCTATTAATATTCTCTCTCCTCTTTTTTATTTATTTATTTATTTATTTTTATTTTTTAAAGTTAATTTTCTTTCTTACCTCACTTTCCTTCAATCTTTATACTTCTTTGTCCTTCTACTTTAAATATTCTCCAATTTGTCTCCATTCTAGCATTCTCCATCATCATCATATTCGCCGCAATTGTGAAACTTGAGATAATTTTGATTTTTTTTTTTTTGGTTTATAAATATGTGAATGTTATAAAATTGTTAATTTTTATCAATTTTGCATTTGTGATTCCTAGTCTATCATGTCATATATCGATAATTATTGTTTCTATGATGAACCAAGATTATATTTAAAGTGGATATTCAAATTTTTAGAGCTAAAATAATTACAATCAAACTTGTGTTTTGAAAAAAAAAAAAAAAAAAAAAAAAAAAATTGAACATGCAGTACTTTAAAATTGAACATTTTGTACAAAATGAACATTTAGTGCACTATAAATGAACATTAGTATATAAAAAGTGAACATATTTTAACGATATATATATATATATATATATATATATATATATATATATATATATATATATGTAGAGGAAGGCTCATGTAAGAACCCTCCTCTATATAAGAACTCAATCTTATATAAGAACCAATCTCAACCATTTATTAGTTTTGATCCAACCATCTAAAACCATCATTTAGTAATGGCATTTCTGTAATTCTTTTTTTATGTTTTAAATTTTTTTGCCTACTCTTATGTTCTAAATCTAGTCTACCTATTTTCTAATTTTTTTTTCTATGTTCCAAATTTAGTCTACTTATATACTAAAGTTTTTTTTTTTTTTTTTTTTTTTTTTTTTTCTTCCTATGTTCTAAATTTTTCCAACCTATGTTCTAAAGTTTTTTTTTCTTCTTCTTATGTTCTAAATATTCTTTTACCTATGTTCTAAATTCTTTTGCCTATGATCTAAATTCAGTCTACTTATGTTCTAAAGTTTTTTTTTCCTAAGTTCTAAATTTTTACTACCTATGTTCTAAAGTTTCTTTTTTTTTTTCTTTTTTTTTGTTTACGTTCTAAATATTCTTTTACCTATATTCTAAATATTCTTTTATCTATGTTCAAAAAATTTTTTTTTCTATGTTCCAAATTTAGTCTACTTATGTTCTAAAGTTTTTTTTTTCCTGTGTTCTAAATTTTTTCAACCTATGTTCTAATTTTTTCCTATATTCTAAATTTTTTCTACCTATGTTCTAACGGTTTTTATTTCCTATGTTTAAAATATTCTTTCCTATGTTCAAAATTCTTTTGCCTATGTTCTAAATTCAGTCTACTTATGTTCTAAAGTTTTTTTTTTTTTTTTTTTTTTTTTTTTTTTTTATGTTCTAAACTTTTACTACCTATTTTCTAAAGTTTTTCTTATATAGTTATTTATAAATATTGCCTATGTAGGATTCGAACTTATATCAACTATGCATTTGCATAGTGCTCTACCACTTGAGCTAATAGGTTTTTAATATAAATCAACACCCTCCCATAGAAGCCGAGGAAAACAATCACATGCAATGTAGAAACTCAAATGCGACAATTTTGCATAAAGAAGATCTATGGACACCCCATTGAACTTAAATCTCATCACCGGGACAAAAGCATCAGGCACAGGGTGCAACTTTGTAACCTCGGGCATCTCAGAAAGCATCTAATGGAGTTCTTCGAAGAAATCTTCCTATATCCAGTAAAATATAACAAGTTAAGGGGCACTAAAGTAGCAAAAAATAATGGAAAAAGTATAGAAGCAGACAAAAGTTATATCTTACCTTTTGCCTATGTTCTAAATTCAGTCTACTTATGTTCTAAAGTTTGTTTTTTCCTATGTTCTAAATTTTTACTACCTATGTTCTAAAGTTTTTTTTTTTTCTTATGTTCTAAATATTCTTTTACCTATGTTCTAAATTTGTTTTTTCCTATGTTCTAAATTTAGTCTACTTATGTTCTAAAGTTTTTTTTTTCCTATGTTCAAAATTTAGTCTACTTATTTTCTGCTCATATAACTTAGTGCTAATTTAATTTGTTTTATTGGATTTTTTTTTTTAAAAAAAAACATTTGAAGTTTTTTTTAGTTATTTATAAAGATAACCTATGAAGGAATTGAACCTACATCCTCTATGCATTTGCATAATGCTCTTCCAATTGAGCTAATAGGTTTTATCATATGTTCTAAATATTATTTGCATATGTTCTAAAATTTATTGCTTAAGCTCTAAATTTTTCAATCTAAGCTCTAAATATATGTATGTTCTAAACTATTTTCCTATGTTCTACATTTTATTGTTTATGTTCTAAAGTTTTCTGTCCATGTTCTAAATATATATCTTATATTCAAATTTTTTTGTCTATGTTCTAAATTTATTTCGTATGTTCTAAATTTTTTTCATATGCTCTAAATTTTTTCTGTATGCTCTAAATTTTATCCTATGTTCAAAATTTTTTCTACCTATTTTCTATTTTTTTTTCCGTACGTTCTAAATTTTTTCTATCTATGTTCTAAACTTTATCATATGTTCTAAATTTTTACCTTATGTTCTAATTTTTTTCACCGTATGTTCTAAATTTTTAGTATATGTTCTAAACTTATTTTCTATGCTCTTTTTTTTTTCCCAATATTCTAAATTTCCAATTTTTTTTCCTATGATCTTTTTTTTTTTCCCAATGTTCTATATTCCTATGTTCTAAATTTTTA